TAGAAGAAGAGATAGAAGATCGATCAGAGAGACTGCCAGACCATGACGAGCCAAATTCGAACAGCCGAAGTTTGAATCCCAAGCAGCTGCGAGTGTCCGCATTGGTTCGTAAATTGCATGTGAACACAGGTCATGCATCGACAGAACAAATGTTGAGGCTCGCGAACCGTTGCCAAGCCAGTCAAGAAATTGTGGACTGCATTCGGAACTTCCAGTGTCCCATTTGTAATGAACTCAAGCCTCCACCGTCATATCGTAAGAGTGCAATCCCCCATGCAGAGAACCCGAATGACATAGTGGGTATTGATTTTGTTCAAGTAGAACTCAAGAGAGAGGGACGTAATGGGAAAATGACCGAAGTCAAGTTCAACGTGTTGACATGTGTTGATATGGCCACAGGTTTCGCACAACAGATCATCGTTGAACGCGGTCCCAATCAGCTGTCAGTAGCTTTCCATAAGGTGTGGACACGTCCCTACGGCACTCCTAAGATAATATTCATGGACCCTGCCAAGACTAATCTCTCCCAGGATTTCCAAGAGTACCTAACACACCATGGCATTCAGTTGTTGCATGCGGCTGCCGAAGCACACTATCAGCTAGGTCAAGTTGAAATTGCCAATCGCATTCTCAGGAACATGGCCAATCGTTGTTGGCCAGGCACTGACCGTCCACCAGAAGAGGTAATAGAAATGTGTGCAACAACCCGTAATGAACAACTTCGAAAGCATGGTTTCAGCCCAGCACAATGGTTCTTGGGAAGGGACTCACGCCATGTGGGAATGCTTGCCAACTTGGATGAGCAAAGAAATTTTGCTGCCCAGTCGCAAATCCTGTCAGATCCATCGTTTGCATCCAAGATTCGCCTTCGTGAAGAAGCGGCCAAGGCCTTTCATGAAGAACATGCGAAGGATGTTTGGCGAAGAGCTGTAGCCTATAGACATCGTCCCATGCGAGGACCATACGTACAAGGTCAACTTGTATACATGTTTCGAGCAGCAGGAAGAGGTCAGCTTAGCACAAGACATGGTAAGTGGTTAGGACCTGCCAAAGTAATTGGGGTAGAAAGTTCATCAAATAGTCCCATACCACGCCTAGTTTGGACAAGCTATAATGGCTATCTCTATAGATGTCGACCAGAAGGCCTCCGTCCAATGTCCGAAGACGAAACTGAGTTTCGAGCGCTTGCAAGAGAACTTGCATTAGGCCAGCTGGCACCGGAAACGGAAGCTGCAGGTAAATCATTGTCGGAGGGCGTCGCTCGTTTTCATGATCTCACAAAGGACATCCCTGGTCCAGAGGACTTCGAACTCAAGGAAGATGTAGAAGCCGAACCTCATCCAGAGACCATCGATGACAGACCTGATTCGGAGGGTAGACCACATAAGATAAGACGTAGATTCTATCGTTCCCCTGAATATTGGCAAAAGAGATCACGAGGCGAGATTCCACCTCTCGGCAGTATGCATGAACAAGAGTTGAATCAGCAGCCATTTGCCGCTGTTGCTCCTGAAGAGATCCCCGAGGATAGACTTGAGCCAGCCGATAAACGTAGAAGGGTTGTTGAAATTGATTCATCTCCAAGTTATGCGCCCACCGAACCGCCAGTTCCTCTTGAAGAAGAGGGATCTCAGTCAGGCTTTCAAATGCACAACGAGCTTGATGAGCTCATGCCTGACCCAGGTGCTGTACCTGCACACCTGGAACCAGAGACAGACACTAATCCGCCCGAATCCGATAGACCCGATAACACCGATGAAGTAATGCCTGAAGTAGACTCGCGATCGAACGAGATCGAACCATCTGGCATAGATGTTCCCGTTCCAGAAGCTGGTGAAGACGAACTAGCGGTAACAGCCAGATTGCAACAGGCAGAACATGTGTTCGAACTTTCCATTGACGTCCATCCCGAAGACATCACTGAGAATCCTCTGTGTCTCTGGAATCTTTTTGAAGAATGCTTGCAAGCTGCGCCGCAGTCCAAGGCGAAGCAAAGAAGGGTTGAAGTCCAGTTCCGCAAACTCAATCCACACGACAAGAAACTGTTTCTCCAAGCTATGCAACAGGAATGGCAAAGCTGGATTGACAATAAGGTGACTTCACTTTGCAAGGCTAGAGGGATTCCTACAGAAAGAATAATTAGAGCAAGGTGGGTCTTGGTATGGAAAAAGTCATCCGATCCTGATATCACATCCAAAACTCCAAAAGCACGTCTAGTTTTGGTAGGATGGCAGGACCCGGACCTAGGAAAGGTAGCAACAGACAGTCCAACTTTGCGTAAGGAAACAAAGCACCTTGTTCTATCCATTTGTTCAGCATCCAAGTGGAAGCTATGGGGAGCCGACATAAAAACAGCGTTTTTGTCAGGTGATGAATCTTGCAGAAACATTTACTTTCGACCTCCAGCAGAAATCAAACAATGGATGAACTTGAGTACAGATGACCTGTTTCGTCTTGAGAAGGCTGCCTACGGCCTGGCTGAGGCACCACGTGCTTGGTTTTCCCGCCTGACCAGGGAACTTAAGGAAGCAGGGCTAACCCAGAGCCAGTTGGATCCATGTTTGTTTATGTTGAGGAGTAAGTCCGATAACACTTTGAAAGGCATATGTGGAGTACACGTAGATGACCTACTAGGTGGAGGTTGCAAGGAAATGGACCAAGCCTTGGACCGACTCCGAAAGAAATTGCCGTTCGGTGACTATCGTACTTTCACAATAAGATATACAGGAGTAGAGATTCGACAAAATCCAAATACGATGGAAATTGAAGTAGGACAAGAAAATTACATCGAGAATTTGGAACATGTTGAAACGAAGACTCTGGGAAACGCTTCAACGTCCCTTACAGATCCTTCTATCCTTAGAACTTGCGCCGGTCAGTTAGCCTGGGTGTCGAACTCGACACGTCCGGAACAGGCATTCCTGGCTTCGTATCTTCAAGGGGTTCAGGATAAGGGGAAAGTTGAACACGTCCACTTGTACAACAAAGCCGTGAGGGAAATGAAAACTAGAAAAATCTGTTTGAAATTCCCTAGTCACGTTCCAGTAAAAGATTGGCACATCGTGTGTATTGCTGATGCTGGCTGGTGTACTAGAGCTAACGGTGAAAGTCAAGGTGGATACATCCTATGTCTTACGACCAAAGACATCATGAAGAACAAGGAATCCCCTGTATGGATAGTAGATTGGAGTTCTAAGAAGTTACGACGAGTAGTTCGTTCCTCAGTAGCAGCAGAAACCATGTCCGGTCAGAATGGACTTGATGCGATTGAGTGGATTCAATCCCTGCTTGCGGAGATCCTAGAAGGCCAATCGCCTCGAACATTTCGAGAACGAGTCCCAGAAAAGACAGCATGCCTCGTTGTTGATAGCAAGGGTTTCTTCGATGCAGTCACAAAATCGTGTAGCTCTCCTACTATTAGCGTAGAGAAGAGACTTCAGATCGACTATGCCATCGCAAAGGAAAGCATGTCCTTGCAGAACATCATGGTCTTTTGGACTAGTAACATTTTCATGTGTGCAGACGTGTTGACTAAACTACGAGCCGACACAGGACCTTTCTATAAACTCGTTGACACTTGGAAATGCACCATCCACACCGGAGTAGAGTCAGGTAAGAAAGAAAAAGCCAAGGCTAGAGCTGCAGAAGCAGAGAAACGTCAACTAGATGAGCACTAGGGCCCATGCATGCATGTTGTGAAGTGAATCCAACATTTGCTTGGTGAAACTTAAGAATTTGTTAGTTAGGTTGAGAAACCATCCATTGCCAGCCACCTCGAACCAGTTCGTTGCTGAGGAGTCGTCCTGGTTGTTTTTCTCATTTTTCTTGTGCCGCATCGGTTAAACCGAATTTTGCACAGCCTTTTTGCTCCAAGGAGCGCACGACCGTGAAGTGTCGCCCATTCAGTCCCGCAGGATCATGTCGAAAGCAGCAAAGACCGATGATGAAGAATATCACATCCGGTCACCACTGACGGATCAGGATCTTAGCATGTGTGCCGGCCTTCTCCATCGAGCTGTCCGTTTCGGACAAAGTGCACAGTTGCTCCAGCGTGTGAACGACTGGGTGAAGATTCGTCCAGACCTCCGACCAAATGTTGTGGGAGCTCAGGTCATCGTGGATGCCTCCATGTCCGCCATGACTGATGCTGCGAAGCGACGCATGGATGCCGATGAGACCTCTCAGGCCTCGAATCCGTGGGAGCTCTTGAATGCCAATGAGCCTACCGGTTCAACCATGACACCGGAGCACCTTGCTGTGAGCCCAAAGGGATATGAAGCTGGAAAGGTGAACTTGTTCCCAGTGGCCAATGTGACCGATCCCTTGATTCCCTTGCCTGAAGGAATCAGCACCGTAGAGAAATGGGGACAGACCATCTGTCGTATGGATAAGGTGAAGGCTGAAAGCCTCACGTATGATCAAATGATCATGACGGCCCGCACGAATTCGAAGACAGGAGAAGACATGCGTCAGTACCTCCAGTTCATTTTGTCAAAGTATGGTACTGGTGGAAAAGTGCCATCCAAGATTACCAAGGCCGTGGACTTTGCCATGTACCTTGAAAAGGTGAAATGGAAGAAGCCTGATTTTGAAGGTCTTGCTGAGAAGTACGGATTCAGCCGAGAGCTGCGTGACTGAACAGTGTCGCTGACAGCATGGTCCCATCTTCGCACCGCCATGAGGGCGTGTGAATTTGTATGCATTGGAACATGCATATCATGATATGAGATGGCGGCCCTCTCATGTGACCATTTTGGCACAAGGGCCCTTGAGTCTGGCTCATCCGAGCCCCCGACGGTTGCGCAATGGAAAAGTGAGCGTACCGCTTGCTTTTGATCGTGACGGAGTTCTTTGATCCCCGTTGGTTGAGTTGTGACAGTTGCCTTTACAAGTTGCTGTTGATCCTCCGCTCACCATTTTACAATATATAACCAAAAACTGCAAAACGAAAAAGATATCAATAAAACAAAGAAAGCCGAAGGCCGCCGATTCGGCCCCTCCTCTGAAGGTCCACAGGCTCGGAGTTGCTCCCCAGGCCGACCATCGAAGTCCAAAGGGCCATAGGCCTCCACGCGGCGGCGCCGCTGGGACCTGGGATGAGTCTCAAAAAGAAAAAGGTCAATTGAGACAAAAGGATACAAAAGGTAAAGAAAAAGAAAGGAAAATGCTAATCCAAAACAAGAAAGGTATATATATATATATGTATATCGGTATATCTTGTAACTTGTATCTTGTTATCTTGTTAGGGATTTGGCCCCGGTTAAGGGGGGCAGTAGCCTCCAAGACTACGTTGGAGTAGACGTCATGGTGCTAGATGTCGCCGTTGTTGCGCATTGAGCTCAAGAGTGCGGCCGCGTTCTGTTTCAATGCGCGTTCTGTCTGTTCCTAGTAGCGTCCTTGCTCCTAGTAGCGATGCCAGGAGCCCCTGGTAGCGTCCTTGCTCCTAGCAGTAAGGGCAGGAGCCCCTACACTTCATCCAAATCTTTTCCGCCCAGCAGCTGCAGGATGTCTATCCTGGTGTGTCCCGGCAAAGTGCCTAGTCAGAGTGTCTGTGGAGCAACGACACAGTTATGATGTCACACAAGCGGAAATGAAAAGCTTGTGGCAGCTGTTCGCGCCAGGAGAGAAACAGAAACTGACAGAAACTTGTACATTAGATTAAAACATATGATGATAAATATTACAGTATGTTTAAACTTGGAAAGCGAGTAAAGCGGGATGTTGATCACCAAAAAGCCACACTCGACTCATCACTCGACCTGGCCACCTCGCCTTCCACCGGTCTGCAGCTCCATTTCGGCAGTTCAGCGCCAGTTCTTTTCTTGGCTACAGGGCCAACTGGTTCTGATGATGGAGTGCAAATCGTTGCCCTGCAGCCACCTGGTTAAGGGATGCTAAGGACAACAGAAGCAGCGGCGCAGAGAATTATGCCAGTTTTTCTTATGGGGCGTGCTTGTCTTGGCTCTGCTTCGATTTTTAGTCATGTGCCCCCAAGCCCAACAAGTTACCTGTGCTTTGTGGAACAAAAAGCCTTACAAGCCTGACAATTGAGAAAAGCTGACTTGCTTGCCCCGCCTAGCGTGCAAACCACCAGCCGGGTGCCCATCAGGAGCGCAACAGCAATACTGCATCCAGCATAGCGAGCGGGACTCTCCTGTGGGGTGCTTTGGGCGCAGAGCATGCGGGGCATGCGGGGCATGCGGGGCATGCGGGGCATGCGGGGC